TACACTGTTTCCAATATCCCAGCAATTTATATTACAAAGATTATATGTAGATATTGCGTTGAAAAAGATCATTGAGGCTGAGAACAAGCCCCCAATCTACATAACCCCTATCCAAGAGCTATTGACTCTGTTCAAATCCCATCCACAAACGATTGGAGTAATGGATGGATGTGGAGAAAATGATACGTGTAATTATCGTATAACGACAGTTGTTCCAATTATAAGGCACTCGGATATGTTTGATTTAGCCAAGGTACATAGCATTCCCATAGCAGAAGATACCTACATGGGAACACCAAAATGGCATAAAGTAAATTTAACGGAACCGTATTTGTTATCACAAGGTACGCGATTATACGCTTTACAAGCTAGCAAACTTCCTTTGTGTCTACCTCAATTTGGTCATTCTATCTGTCAAATATGTAAATTTCACAGGCCTCCAGTATATGAAGCCAATGATTGTGTGAAGGCCATACAAAATGGTGATCTGGAATCCACAATAAAGGGAAAATGCCCATTAGTGGAAATTGATGGGCCACAGAATCTGGCTATACAATTGGATCCTGATGAATTTGCATTTGTAGATTCCGACAAGGGAAGAATAACTCAGTACTGTTCCGGAGAAAATTCACAAGCCACAGAAAGTACCTATGAGATGCCTTATTCTGGAATTATCCAATTTAAACCCAATTGTCGGTATACCGTAATTAACGGACCATTTAAGGAACTAACCCCCACTCTGGAGAATATTGAAATAAATGCCGTGAATGAGATCCCTGCCAGTATACCTGGATTGAAATCTATCGCGGAAGATATTAGCAATTTACAATTACATTTCAGGGACCATGGCTATATTTATCTCATTGTTCTCATTATATTGATAACCATGATACTAATTGCAATTGTTTATTTCTGTTTTGCAAAGATTAGATATGTACTGCAAAGAAGACGAAGGCTGGAAGCAATTGACATGAATGACATGTCTGCTACTGTGGAATTGGTAGGAAATTCTGTGCCTGTGCGTCCCGCACCAAAAACTTATCCTAGGATCCGAATGAACCCAGCCACTGGTGTTTTGTCTCTTAGTACGAATTAGAAAACAATAGAAATAGTTTTCTCTCTGTATAAAGCTCTTTTATTCTCTGATTCCTAACTACAAAAGAGCCTTATTCACTCGCGACAGAAACAAAGTCATTTGGTGTTTTGTCTCTTAGTACGAATTAAAAAACAATAGAAATAGTTTTCTCTCTGTATAAAGCTCTTTTATTCTCTGATTCCTAACTACAAAAGAGCCTTATTCACTCGCGACAGAAACAAAGTCATTGACACTGACATCTAACGCTTCATTGTCTTGAGTGTCTTCAGCGTTGCCCAGCTCTTCATCCAACAATAGCAGTGGTGAAGGGGACAATGGCGGACTCATCGGTACGGGAACAGGTGATACAAGAAGGTCCGGCACTTCCGAATGCTGAACTAGCCTCCCCAACGCTTCCAGCATCCTCAGCAATGGCTGGAACCAAGCCTGAGCAAAAGCAAAACAAAAAAGGAAACACCAGCAAGCCATGCAATTGANCCGGAGAAAATTCACAAGCTACCGAAAGTACCTATGAGATGCCTTATTCTGGAATTATCCAATTTAAACCCAATTGTCGGTATACCGTAATTAACGGACCATTTAAGGAACTAACCCCCACTCTGGAGAACATTGAAATAAATGCCGTGAATGAGATCCCTGCCAGTATACCTGGATTTAAATCTATCGCAGAAGATATTAGCGATTTACAATTACATTTCAGGGACCATGGCTATATTTACCTCATTGTTCTCATTATATTGATAACCATGATACTAATTGCGATTGTTTATTTCTGTTTTGCAAAGATTAGATATGTACTGCAAAGAAGATGAAGGCTGGAAGCAATCGACATGAATGACATGTCTGCTACTGTGGAATTGGTAGGAAATTCTGTGCCTGTGCGCCCCACACCAAAAACTTATCCTAGGATCCGAATGAACCCCGCCACTGGTGTTTTGTCTCTTAGTACAAATTAGAAAACAATAGAAGTAGTTTTCTCTCTGTATAAAGCTCTTTTATTCTCTGATTCCTAACTACAAAAAGAGCCTTATTCACTCACGACAGAAACAAAGTCATCGACACTGACATCTAACACTTCATTGTCTTGAGTGTCTTCAGCGTTGCCCAGCTCTTCATCCAACGATAGCAGTGGTGAAGGGGACAATGGCGGACTCATCGGCACGGGAACAGGTGATGCGAGAAGGTCCGGCACTTCCGAATGCTGAACTAGCCTCCCCAACGCTTCCAGCATCCTCAGCAATGGCTGGAACCAAGCCTGAGCAAAAGCAAAACAAAAAAGGAAACACCAGCAAGCCATGTAATTGAGAATCATGCCAACCCAAAATTCTGGAAGTTTTTCATTTAACGTACTTGGTTTGAAAGTCGTCAATTTAGGAATTCTTGAACGGATAGTTGCAAATCCACTAGTAGAATCCTCAGAGACGGAAGAAGAGTGAATTTCATCAAACGTTTTGGGTTTAGACAAATCTTGCATTTCTATTTCTTCTATTTTTACCCCTGATTCAATATTAGTGTCATTGGGCTGGTTAGTCAAGCAAAACAAGAAGGAACATGCAGGTCAATAAAGAGTGTGCCATCTTAAGGAAGGGTGCAAATTAGTCATTCACCTTCTTGCGCAAGCAGTGCCACACCAAACCGGCGACCAAACTCAAAACGGTAAAACTAAGACCACTAATTAAAGCAATGATACCGTTTGAAAGAAATTCCGCAGTAAGGGTCGTCTTCCCATCGGAAACGGTCAAGGTCAGGTTGGTGTTTTCCCCAGAAAAAAGATGAGTTTCAGGAATATCCGAGAAATTGTTGAGGACGGCCAAAAGTATGGAAGGGTTCTTAGTCACTATTTGAAAAATACAGCTTGTAAATTTAACACTCATGTGACTATCAAAACTCCCGTACCTTGTTCTTTCGCAGCTGAGGTAGAGATGATGACAGGAATGACAGATGTCGCTGCTGAAGATACAGAAGAAGATAGCGGAGGAAAAGTTGTGGACAGGATTGCCTCCTCAGTCGTAACCATAACCTCGCCATCCGTCAACGGAATGTCCGGAATGCCTTCATCCCATCGACAGAAAGAAAGAGGATTGACGATCCCAACCTGGATGTCACCTTCACATTGGATTGGCTCCAACAATTTCACTCTCTGCACTCACCAAAAAACAGATTGATTTCAATTAAATATATTCAACTGTTTCTTTCTCCTCCTTCACCTTGATGTTGAAGTAATCTAGGCAACTCAGGTCCAAAACACCGCCGGTCATCACAAATGAGTCATCAAACGCTGCCGCCTGAGCAACGTCCGACGAGCAAGCATCCGTACACTCCAAGCGGCCATTTTGGATCGAACACTTCCCGTCAACAGAGTCGGGATCAGTCACCACCAAGAGGACCAACACCAGGATGCGCAGAGACATTTTTGCTGAGATATCTGAAAAATTCACCGAATGCTGATCACTGATCTGATCTCTTATGTTAAGCCCAAGGGAATCACGTTTTTTGTTGATGCCGCGGAAACCAACCGTTGAAATTGGCTGAAAGTTGGCTGAAATCACTATCACCTGTGTAGAAACAGATTGACCGTACGGAATTTTTAGTTTTGTCCCGGTTCGCGCGCAAATTAGATCGTTATTGCCAACGCTACGCTACAAAATTCAAATTTTTGTCCGCGAAATTTGGACAAAAAACCGCAACAAATTAAGGTTTAAGGATTTGAATGGCATAAGAAGGCTAAAGACAACAATATCCAACTTTAAATTAACGGGATTCACTCAAAACGAAGCAAGAAACAAAAAACGGTGAATTCTAGGGAACAGTGCACATACCTGAACAAGGGGTTGGAATGAACTGAGTGAAACCAGTCAATCAAACCAACCCCTGAGACCTCCTGAGTAGACTTGATCAGGCATGAGGGAGAAGGCTGTGGTTGTTATTACTACTTCCTGCCTCTCCCCAGATGAACTTATTCCTGTTGAAC